CATGGAGTAGTAATCCATCACGTGCGTTGCACGTAAATAATTTTTATATACAAAACATTAATAAAAGTATTAGGTATATGTGTACCTACATTAAATATCATTTCAAAATTATCAAAATTATATTTTTATTGCTCGTATTATATTATAGAATTTAAAAATATTGTTTGTTCTCAACGATTCATTGTTTTAAGTATTAAAAAAAAGATAAAAATAATTTATTTGAAATTCATTTGATTATGTTATTCCGTCAAATAGTATCACGTAATCACTTATATAAAAAAACTTAACAGATTGTCTATATATAGATCATTTAAACATTAACTAAATACTTTAAGGACCAAATTGACAAAATTGATACAATAAAAATCAAATGATAAAACATGCATATTTTAGAGACTAAAAGTGTTATTCATCTTAAAATATAATATATTACTCTATAATATATATTTAAAAGAATATTAAAATTCTAAAATTCAAGTTTTATTTAAAAATACAATATAATTTTTATATATAAACTCTTAGTAAAATATGAAAAAATTTATTGTGATTGAAGAATTATATTGATTTAATATAAATTATATTTTAAAAAAAGTACGTAAAAGATTATTTTTATTTTTAAAAATTAAATGGTTGAAATTTTGGATGAAAGAAATACACATATGTAAAGATAATGTTATCTTTATATTTAAAATGACTAATATTAAATTGATAAAGTTTTTTTTTTTAAAAAAATTGAGCGTTTTATTAAAAATTATAGTGATGCATATATGTTTAAAGGTAACATAGTCAATTAAAAAATTTCATAGATATTGATATTTATACATAGTAAATAAATAATTAAAAGAGATGTTAGGGGTAATTTGGAGATTTAAACATATAAGTATATGATGGCAATTTAGATATTCAAATATTAAAGGATAGTGGTATTTAAATTTTTTTTATAAAAGTAAAATAGTAAATCAAAAAATTTCATGCTAAAACAAAAGTTTCATTCTTTATTAGTAGTATGGATGAAAAAAAAAATACATATATATAGTCATAATGTTATCTATATATTTGAAAAAAGTATTATTTATTGATGAAGTTTTTGAACTTTTTATTGAAAACTATAATGATGCATTTTTTTTTTAAGAGTAACGTAGTCAATTAATTTTTTTTATAGATATTGAACTTTATACAAAGATAATAGAGAAGAAAAGAAATCTAAGAGAGTAAATTGGAGATTTAAATACATAAGGTCGTGATTGTAATTTAGATATTTAACTATGAAAAATAATGTGGTAATTAAAATTCTTTATAAGGTTAAAATAGAAAATCAAAAAAATTCACTTTAGATATTTTTATTAATAGTATAAACATAGATATAGATAGGTGACAAATGAGTTCTAAATTCTCGATTCTATTATTATCGATTTCTGTTTTTTTAAAATTTTTAAAAGCTTACATGGCTTCTCATCATTGGTTGTCATTAACTTCTTATTATCTTAAATAACATTAGAATATTTTCAATTTTGACTCAAAAATTTTATTCAAATTTGAAAAAAAATTTGATTTAACATAAAAACACCTCAACGAAAAAACATAAATTTAAAAAAGAGCAAATCCAAATTTTTAGTAGAATATAATATGACTATGGGCGGAGCTACGCATGGGCAAGAGTTGATACATGCTCACCCTCAAATTTTTTTAAAAAATATTTTATGTATACTTATATTTATATATTCTAAAAATAATACATACATTTTTTACTTATACGCACCCTATAATTTTCTTATTTCAATTGTTTAGTATTTTTCATTGTATTAATGATTTTCTATATGACCCTAATTTTTTTTTGGGTTTCTTGTTAAAAAAAATATTATTTATGAATTTTACAAGTCAAAATTCTTGCAATTGACCTTCATTTGATTTTTTTTTCTACAAAAAATCATCTTTATTTCTATTCAAATATTGATATATAGTTTTTTATTTTGTGTCAATCGATTTTCAATTTTTTTACTATTTTTAACTCTTAAATTTTAGTTAGGAGATAAAAAATTAGAGTGTGTAATTAAGGTCCATCTTAAACAAATGTTTTTGACTCCGCTCCTGAATATAACTATTAGATTTTTAAAGAATAATGAAATCTAACCAATTTTTTTACCCAAATTTAAATTTAAGTCTTAAAAATAATAAGATTGTAGAAGCTCTTACTCTTAGTCACATAATCCTTCAAAATAATCTTTGGGGATGGTTTAGTGGTTCAATATGTTATTTGGTAATTTAGAAGTTTCAGAGTCAATCCTTTTCACACCCCTAAAGGTTAGACAACCTTGTCCCTTTTGGGACATGCTTTAGATCACTTCAAGTCATGATGGTTAGTCGTTGAGCTCGAAAGAGTAGTCGACACAAGTCTAGATACCATATAGAAAAAAAAAGAACATAATCCTTCAAAATAGCTTACATTCTGGCGTTGTGCGCTAATTTGTGCGAGCGAATTTTCCGTGAATTCACACTTCCATTTTATAAAATTCGCGAACTCAAAATTTTCAATTCACAAATTATTTCTCGTATTTACTTATATTCTTACTCATTATTACTTACAAAATTTTATTTGAAAATTACTAACTCGTACATAAAAATACATATCAAACTAGAATGATATTTATAACTTATAATTATTATTTCAAGATTTTATAATCAATATATATATTTAAAAAATAAATATTTTGTCACCTAGTGTTGCATGAATTTTTTTTTATAAGTTTATTTGTTTAAAATTTTATGGATGAATATTTATTTGAATGCATATAATATGACGTTTTCATTCACGGTACTCCCACTCTCAAATATTTTAAAATTTTATCATTTTTTTGCACTTTCGCTCTCACTCTTGCTTCCACTCCATTTTCTGCTCTATGTGATTGAACTCTTATTTCTCATTAAATGCACATTTCTTTGTGCATTTAAATTCTTAAAATCACTCATAAAGTCTCACTTACATGAGATATACATGTCCCCTATCTTGTAGAGGCTAAAAATATTGGATGGAAAAAATTTGGAGGGGTAAATTTTATTAGAAATTTGATTAATATTAGTGATATACTTTCGAAGCCTATTTGGAGCTCCAATCACAATAGATCCACGTCGAATCACAATCCACGATGCCATGTCATCGATCCACATCAAGCTAACAAATTCCAACCGTGATATCCAACTTACCCGGATCGACCCCTCATCATCGCCCATCGCAAAAAACCCAAAAAATTCAAATTACCTCCAAAAACCCCATTCTCAAACTCAAACCCTCCCCAAACCTCCCTTATATAAACAAATCTCACCACATTTTTATAGGAATAACACCAACTCAATTCATTTCAACCACTCTCTATCGCAAAACTCAGAGTTTTCAATCTCTCATTTTTCTTCAAGATGTCTGGTTGTGGAAAGGGAGGCAAAGTTCTAGGAAAGGGCGAAGCGAAACGACATCGTAAGGTACTGAGGGACAACATTCAAGGGATCACCAGGCCTACGATTCGGAGGCTGGCTAGGAAGGGAGGAGTGAAGAGGATAAGTGGTCTGATCTATGAAGAGACCAGAGGGGTGCTTAAGATTTTCTTGGAGAATGTGATTCGTGATGGTGTGACCTACACTGAGCATGCTAGGAGAAAGACGGTGACTGCCATGGATGTGGTCTATGCTTTGAAGAGGCAGGGCAGGACTCTTTATGGGTTCGGTGGTTAAAGTTTCTGAGTATGTGTTTGTTATGGGATGTTGGTAATGTAATGTAACAATATCTCTAAAATTGAAATTGAAGAACCCTTTGATTTTATGCCCACTTCTCTATTTATTTTGTGTTGGACTGTTTTTAAATGCTTTGATATCTCAACAACATACGAATCCCATATTGTCTGTCATATCTTTTTGTGTTGATTGATTATCTTGATTTTTATTTTATATTGTTTGGGCATGAGGGTTCGGATTTGTTTTTGTACATGCAATATGAAGGTGTCATTTGATGGGACACTTTTGAGAATGAAGCGAATGACCAACACGTGTCCTCTTTTTATTCTGGCAAGGACACATATCATCGGCTTCGATGGCGCATGTTGCTCTTTTGCAAGTGCTTATGCTCGGTGCTGAAGTGTTCCTCCTCCCTATGACATACATGTGTCCTCGGCTCCAAGGGTGCCTCCATTCCGAGGGAAACTATGTGCCCTCACCCCCAAAGGTGCTCGCCGAAGTTCAGATCAGGCCACGTGTCTTTGGGTTCTGGAAATGCTACTGATTGACAGATGAACAGTCTAAATTAGACTAAAAATCATGAGGGTGCTTTGCATAATAAAAGTCATAACGACATAATGAATTAGACACTCAACCAGAGAAAGTCAGACGCGTGGCATAAAGTACAGGATGAGGGGTAGACATACAGAAATACCCCTGCTGATTTACGGCTATCCCAGGCAAGCATTTAATGAATTTCAGGTGATGGGACATCCACAGTAGCTTTGGAAGCTAAGGATACGGGGTATTAAATGCTATGGGATCTGAGCATTTAAGAGTCTTTGCATCAAGGAAAGAGCATTAAATACTTGGAAGCCCGAGCAATTAATAAAGGGGGCACCCCCATGCAAAATATGAGGTGCACTGCCCAATATCTGGACACTACTTATTGACTAGACCATCTGTAATGATGGGTCTTCGGGGGTATAAATAGTTATCAAAAACACATTGTAAAGGTACGCAAAATTATCCCTCAAGAATACCAAACAATGTCTTCTTGTTCCCTTTTCTCAAAAAATTGACTTGCTCATCGAAGGGGATACGCCAAAAAATACTCTGACGCTCTTCTAACCCTTTTTTTTTGTGTTCCAAGAACCGCCTGCAATGAACCAGAATAGAGTGGACAGCCCCTGAAGTAATTTATCACTACTCCTTAAATCGTCTTTGACTCTCTCAACTTATTTCTTGTTGTGGGATCGACCACTTCCTCGTCCAACACGAGCTCATCAATGGTTGATGTGATATCCTTTGCTAGGCTTTCTTATACAATTTATTGAACATCAAATGGGAAGGGAAGGTGTAAAAACATTAGTCAAAATGGTTGAAAAATTAAGATACATTGTTAAGGCAAGGCAAGGAAACCTGTCGGAGCATAGACGTGTCCCTTTTTTTTCAGATTTAATTTATTTATTTTATATACGAAGCAGCTGTCAACGTGTGTAATTTTTTTTGGGGGGAGTTGTGTAATTTATTCTTCTATTTTTGTATATTTGTGGGCGTTAGAAATTTATAATTTTTGACCTTCTGTACACCGACCATAGTTATTCGGTCGCCTGTCTACTGCTTGCAGGTTTTTGGACTTTGGACACACGCGCCTGCGCACAAGCAGATATCCACATACAGGGAGCAACACTGTGTCTGTGTGTGTGAGAGAGAGATGTGCACGCTAGAGAAGCGAGGCAACATCTTCATCCTAACCCTAACCGGCAACGATGAGCACCGGTTAAACCCTACCCTAATCGACTCCATCAGAGCCGCTCTCCAGCGAGTCCGATCCCAAGCGAATGGTCCATCAGCTCTAATCACCACGGCGCAAGGCAAATTCTTCTCCAATGGCTACGACCTCGCATGGGCCCTATCCGACAAATCTCGCCTCAAAGTCATGTCCTCCAAGCTCCGATCTCTCGCCTCCGACCTAATCACACTTCCGATGCCCACCATAGCCGCCGTCACCGGCCACGCCTCCGCCGCTGGCTTCGTTTTGGCTCTGAGCCACGACTACATTCTAATGCGCAAAGATAGAGGGTTTCTCTACATGAGTGAGCTAGATATTGGGTATAAAGTTCCGGCTTGGTTCATGGTTCTGTTGAAGTGCAAGGCCGGGTCGCCGGCGGCTTGGCGGGAGGTGGTGTTGAAGGCGGCTAAGTTGAGGGCTGATGTGGCGGTTGAGATGGGAATTGTTGATTCGGCACATGATAACCCGGCTGAGACGGTGGTGGCTGCGGTGAAGTTGGGGGAGGATCTGGTGTTGAGGAAGTGGGATGGACATGTTTATGGTGAGAATAGGAAGACTATGCTTGCTGACGTGTTGGCTAAGCTTGGTTTTGATGAGACTGTGGAGGTTGGTGACAATGAGACTCCTCCTTCTACGACCAATCATGTCTCGAGACTTTGAACAAAATATACTGTTGTATCTCTGTGAACCTAAGATAAATTACTGAGTTGATCTATTGGCTGTCGTCTCCCTTGTTGTACCTTCGTATCTGTTCGTCATTCCTTTTTTTTTTAGTTGTGTCCGACAAGAAAAGTAATTATTGAATTATCATGTATTTTCCAAGCTCCAAATTTTAAGCATTGTAACTATTTATAGCATCTCTAATCATAACTTAAATTTAAGAAATTCTGACAAAGAAAGATCTTACTGATTCTGATAAGGACTCATCGTAGATGATGTGTAACCATTCTTAGCAAAAAGCAAAATAAAAGTGCCATGATATAAAATAGACACCACCTCTAACGGCCACAGGAAAAGGATACAATCTTTTCACATCAATGAGAGGGAGTTAGAAAAAAACAAAGCTTCGAAGCCAAACTCTATTATGGTAAAGCTGATAAGTGGAAGTAATCTCTGTTAAGCCTAGCATTTGACATTCATATGCATGCATAAAGCAGTAAAGTACCTTACTGATGTAAAATAAATATCTGAGAATTTGGATTATGAGGTTACTGTTCTGAGAATCATACTTCTTGTCTTTCAGGGAAGATTCACCTGTGGGTACCTTCCGACCACGTCCTCGACAACTTTTCCAATACCGTCATTACAGGTATGACAGAATAGTAGATTTTTCCAATTTGTTTGTCCTAATGTTCTAGATGTTAATTAGGTGTAATTTCCTCAAATGTTCGATGATTTACCATCACGCCTTAATGAGCTAGCTTCAGTAGACTTTCCGTGCTAGTTACTCGCTCTGTGTTTTATGCATATCGCCAACCTCAGTAATCTTATTTTTTTAATAATTGAGATCCTTTTCATTTACTCCACCTAGGATAGTAGTGATGGTGGCAAGGATGAAAAATATTACTAGTAGCTTCATTCCCCCCTCCCCCTCCTCCTCTCTTCCTGTGAAACCAATAATTTCTGATGCCAATTTCCAATCCCAACTCTCGAGTGTCAAAGAAATTAATGCCAACTTGTTGGTTTTAGTTTTATTGCAGTTTTCTGCATTCAATAATCGGTGTTCTTTTACATAACTAGGAGTATGTTTGGTTCTAACTGTGCTGTTGCATTTGAGTTCTGATCAATTGGCATCATGGTGATAGCAATTCACTTGATTGAATTGGTTGTATGAGCTGTTGAGCATTAATGATCACATGCACATAGGAAGCTGAAACTTACTGTTTACATGGTTCATCTCTCTCTCACTTTGAATACTTTGATGTGTACCGGTGAACAACAACCTTTACGGTTAAACCCAGTGGAGGTTGGTGAAGTTATTGCTGCGGTTTGCTCAGAACCATCTTCATCAACAGCTAATCTCATGACAGTCTCATCTAAATTCAGTAATAATAGTAGAAAGCCATCAATGGACGTGGCTGTGAGCGTTCTCGTCAAACTTGTAATTGACATGTACGTTCTGGTATAGTTATTTTCCTTTATCAGGGCATTTCATTCTCAAATTGTTCCTTTCCTCCTTGACCCCCATGCATGTGAGGGGGTGGGGTGTGTTGGGTATGCAGGGGATCACAAAACAAAGCTTATTCAACCATGAAATTCAATCTCTGGCATGAACTCTAAATTCTAAATAGGTTTACTGTGTGAGGGGATCTTCAAGCCATCTGCCCAATAAACAATGGCATTGGTTGATGCAATTTTTAGCTGATGTCTTTTTACTTGTTCTGCAAAATTTACTATGGGAGATTACCATTGCAAAACTTTGTTTTTTAGGTATGTTTTGGATTCTGGGACTGCTGCTCCTCTCACTTTATCCATGCTTGAGGTGCTGCACATTTGACATATTTGTTTGTTAGGTTGAAGATCTTGTTATATCTTCTTACTTTCATGAAACCTATTCACAGGAAATGCTTAATTCTCCAAGATTGGTCTCAAAAGCCCGGGCTTTTGATTTAATCTTAAATCTTGGGGTTCATGCTCATTTATTGGAGCCACTAGTACCTGGTGATGGATCCACTATTGAAGAAGAGTATTCTCAGGATCCATACTTTGACAATGAAGTGCAACTTGCCACCCAAGGAAAGAGAAAACCAGATTATTTTAAGAAGATGGGAAATTCCTCAGCTATTGAAAATTTCGAGATTTGGATTTTGAGCATTCTGTATGTGATTCTTCTTCATCTTGTTCAGGTACAGCTTTGAAATGTTATACTCAAAGAACTATGCTGTTTCAGAACTTCACAATGGTGTTCTCTGTTACTGTGTCTGAATTGATGAAGGAACATTTTCTACATGGTGAGGTGCACGTTTCAACCTATTCTTCATACCCAGGATACTCTATGCTTGGAGGCTTTAAGGAAGCAGCAATTTCTAACTGCACTCTTATGGTTGCTTTTTTAATTTTTTTGCTTTGCCTTATGAATATCTACCAAAAATTGCAATATACGTTATCCAACTCCTGTGCTTCTAAGATAATCAGATTGCTCTTTTTTCTGAGAATTTCACTGGTTGTTAAGACTAATTAGTCAATTATTAGTGAAGTGTGGAATGAGGTTGTTTATTGTAATATTTTTGTTATTATTATTACAACTACTAGATAGTAGATTTGAAGCGGTGGCCTCTACTCCCTCAAGGTGGGGTTAACCATCTCGGATAGACCTGTAGGTCTTGTTTATTAGAATATTACTACAATTGAGAAATAGAAAATCACAACGCTACCTGGTCAGCAGTTGGCTTGCAAGGGAAAAATGGATGGACTATCCTGTAGAGATTTGGATAATTGAGCCAAGAAGGTTATGTTAGCAGAAACCTCGAACATTCGTCATATACATGAAGGCCAGAAGAGTTTCTCTTTAGAGTAGGTCAGATTTGAGATATTCGCCACCTACTGAAGAATATTTGAAAACAGTTTCCACCGACAAAGGAATATTATATGTCCAAACTGTATTTCTAGGAATGGAAATCAAAGGTTGATGAGGTCCGTGGTAGTTTGTTTCAAAAAATATTTTCTATTTAATTAGCCCATACTGAGGGGGAATTCAGTGGCATTTCCTGGAGGTCTGAAATGGGTTTGTTATTATCTTTATTGGAGAGATTTAAATTATGTTGGAAAAACTTCACTTGCAGAGTCTAGGTACTAAACAGCTTCACAAGTATGCTTTAAAATTTGCCAGAGGTTTTAGAGAGTGCGCCCGTTGACAACAAATTGGGCAATGAGGCTAAGGCTGGGGCAAGCTTGAGCTCTTGATTTGTATGTTTTTTTCTTTGAATTCATGGATGATAGAGGGTACACAGACCCAAGACTTTGGCCCTGTTGAGCGTTTACTATAGTTGACCACATCTCTCTTTCTCTTTGAAGAGGGGGTAGGTTTGATTGTCAGTCTCTTGTGGGCACTAATGAATGATTGTATTTTGGATGGAGAAATGTTCTCAGATGGCATGGGAGGTTACCATTATGCATTTTCCTCGCATAAAATCAATTCAAAACTTTCTAATAGAGACTGTAGGTTTCATTTCAAATATAGACCTTATATCGGAAAGCCATTATGTGCAAGAGATAAAGCGATTATAAATCACCTTACATAAAAATTTTCACTTACTATATATATGATGTAGCATGGAGTGAGCTAATAATTAGGAGAAGCCTCTCTTTAGCAATTAAATTCATGTCTTTTTGCAAAGAATAAAATGGCTCTTGCTTTGTGACTTAGTAGTGGTGCCAAATTGGATTGATAAAATCAGGTAATTGCAAAAAAAATTATTTTCCATTGTTTGACAACCTACAAAATTACTTCGGTATAACATACTGTTTTCAGACAATGACTTCTTATGTCTCAGGAATTCATACAGATGCAATTACAAAGTGATCTTAAAAAAATTCATAGGATTAGGCTTAATGGTTAATATGAAGTTTTAATATTTCTGGGATACTTGCAAGAATATTTAGAATAATGATACTAGCACGCATCCCATTGCCAGTAGAAGCATTGAAGGTTGTGGCATAATAACATATAAGGATGGTTGTGTGGCAGTGGGCCTAATGTGACAGCGGCATTGCATAGATTAGGTATTACTTGTATGGCTAAAGTGTCAATCCTATTGTTCATGTCCTGTCAAAAAGGTTAACTTAGAATTGAAATTGGCCCCTCCGACATTCACTCACCGCACATTTGTCTTATACAAAATGTCTGCACGCACACATCTTTAGTAAACCATTTTATCCTATACGTACTCATCAATATTCAAGATTGAGAAATTATGGGCTCATTTGTAGCTTCACACACCCATTTATTTTTTATTCTTTTTGGGGGGATGGGGGGGGAGACTTAAACTCTTGACCTTAAGAAGGCAAAACCTTCACAAAGTAAGGAGTATCATTTGACCAAAAGCCCGTTGGTATGCAGACCCCTTTGTTGCTTTGTTTTTGTGGTCCGAATCATTTCAACTAGCAGGGGTAAGTTGGGTGATTCAAAAGACTTTTTTTTTTTTCCTAAATTAGTGGAGAAATTTGATTGGTTTGGAAAGCACAAGAACGGGGTAACCCTTTGGAATTGTACAATTTTTGCAATAATCTTGGTAATTTGATTGGAAAGAAATTCTAGGATATTCAAAGATAAAGATTATTGGAAGGAAGTCTTGTGTGTCGGGATTTATTTCTTGGCTTCTCGTGTGCTTCACAGCTTCTAAGGATTTTGAGGGTATTATGCCCTCTTGTATTGTGGCGAATTGGAAAGCATAATATATTCCATAGTTATATTGTATTTCTTTTCTGTTTTTTCATTTCTTGGCTCGACAACTTGTTCAACCCAAGTTCTCTTTGATATTCTCTTTTCATATTAACAAAATTGTTTAGTTTCCTATCCAAAAAATATATATAATAACTTCAGTGGTTGAAGACAATAGTTGCTTGAAGTTTTCAAGCTACTTTGTGATCTCTACACAGTAAGAGATTAGCCCGGGTGTTTTCTTTTGTCGTGCATAATCAATGGTAGAGCTGCTGGAATTGCTTCTTGAGTGGTTCAATATGCTCCAGCAATTGTAATGCGTTTTACTAACTTTGTTGGAATGAACAGAAACCATTTGTTTTGTTGTCATCCTTTGTTTGATTATGATCCAACCTATAAATTGCTTCTGGGTTGTCCAACATCTCTTTGGTTCATGAATAAATTATGGTATGTACTTTGTTAGTAACATTTGATGATCTAAGGCTCTTTACCTTCTAACTACATTACAGATGGAAGAGAAGGAAGAATCTGTATGGGCTTCTGCCCTGAGCTGTTTACTTTATTTTGTCTGTGATAGACGACAAATTCGGAGGAGCAGGTTAAAAGGTCTTGACATAAGAGTGAGTGATCGTTTTTCTTTGCTCCGTTGTGATTACGCCTGCTTCTGTGATTTGTATGCTCCTCATAAATGGCAGTTAGTAGAATGGAATATGTTTACACCTGCTGTAAAACTGGGGTAAAGTGAAGAAGAAACAGACTTGATAAACAAAAACAGCATCCATAATGTAGGGAACTATTTTTTTGGTTCTCTCCATTATTGGAAGAAAAGTGGTTCTGGGACCTAACTGGGGATGAAGGATGAGTTCCACTTTCATTCTAAGAAGAAATGCTATAATAATAACCCACTATTTGAGTTATGAACTATCCTTATCTTCCTTCTTTAGATTTCATCCTCTTATCCATTCAACTCATAGTCGTCAATTCAAAGAGAGTGAGATTAAGAATTGTCACTAATTCTAGGATGGTCTTTATTTTTGTTATTTAAATCCCTCAAATTTCCAATTTACGTCACGCTAGTCTACTAAAAACGGCAGTTTAAATTCTAACAAAAGTGGTCACGTGTGTCTCATGTGACCACACTTGAGAGATCACTTTGATCTCTCAAGTTTCCAATTGTTGTCACTTTGATCCTTATTTTTTCTACTTTGTCCGCTACTTTCAAATTTTTATTACATTCATCCAGTAAGTGTGGTCATAAGAGAAACATGTGGCCACTTCCATCAGCTAATTTTAACCATCTTTTTCATTCTATTTTGTTGGACCAAAGTGAACAAATTGGAAAATTGGGGGACCAAAATGACACATTTAAAAGAATGAGGATCAAAGTGACAAAAAGCATAGAGGGACCATTTCTATAGGTTGCCTTTTTTTTTTTAATTTTTTACACTTGTTATGGACAGGAAATTAACATAAATTAAAAATTGTGATATGTCTAAATTGAAAAACTTTGTGCAGTGAAGTGAATTAAAGATTCATACATACGAGAAAACCCAGAAAAGAAAAATGTAGCCATCCCATTCATATTTGATATCTTCTCATAGGATGAAAAATATTTTGCGGTTTTCTCAAAACTAGAACTGGCTTGCTTGGGTTTCCTAAATGGTGTCGGAGTAACTACCCTTTTCAAATTTGACTTATGTGGAGTAGCTTGTGTGCTGCAACTTGATTCAGTGAAGAATCTTTAGAAAGAGAAAACAAAAATGATGGAGAGATAAAGGCTTTTTTGGGGCCTGGTTCTTATGTATCCTTTGTTATCATGGTGCCAGAACTTGTCTTTCTTTGGTGGCTTATAAAGAGAAGTGATTTATGCTGATCGGTGTGTTTTCTTATTTTAGTGATCATGCAACATAGTTGGAGCATATGGGTTGTATTGGTGCTAACATTGTCTCCTCCTTTTAAGCATTAGCTATGTTGGTATCCCTTTGAGTTTTGGGTTTCATTATTTACACTTCTTTCACTTGCAGGTTATTAAGATGCTTGTACAGATCAGCAGGAGGAATTCCTGGGCAGAATTACTTCACTGCAAACTTATTTGCATGTTGACGAACATGTTTTATCAAGTTCCTGATGGGTCTGCTGAAGCTGTTTCAAATACCCCATTGTTTCTTGTTGAGCAGGTTGATTTGATAGGAGGAATTGAGTTTATTTTCATGGAGGTGTTATGCTGGTTATTTCTTATAAAATCGATTTTTTTTTGTACGTAAATCTGAATACTTAAATCTGCTAAAATTAGTGATTACAATTAAAGAAGTTAAGGAGGACTTGGTTTTAGGCATCTAACATTTGACTCACTACAACTGGCAATACTTCTCTTGTTCGTTGTGAGAAGAAGCATTCGCCTGTATCTTTAACTTGTTGGTTGGCAGAGTTTGCTTCAAACTTTAAAACGTGATCGATTTATGTACATTATGTAGGGGACAACAAAGTGATAGTATATGCTTCTCATTCATGTGTTGTGCATTAAAGGAAGACGCATTGCAATCCCATACCTTTTATTGTTGATAAACATGTTGAATGGAACCAAATTATTGTGCCTTGAGGCCTGAGAACAATTCCACTAACACATCTGTTGACTCAGCTAGTGGTATGTGTAAAAGTGCAGCAGCTTCATTATTTAGGTGCAAGCAATTGCGGCTCTTACTTATGTGGATTTACACGGGGTGGCATGGATGTGCCTCCTATTAGAGGTTCTCTGATTATGGAATAGGTCTTATGTGAGGGAAACATGGTGGTGTGTTTGAGTGGTAGCTCTTTTGTTCTATTGGTGGAGCCTTTGGTTGGAGCAGAAAGAATACACCCCATGATATGTATATGTACAGTTCCTTTGGTTTAGGAGCTGGAGAAGAATTTTTGTTTCTCAGAGAAGTTTTTCGTTTGAGATATATATTCTTTTGTTTGTTAATATGGTAAATAGGAACTGTACATATCATAGGGTATATTGTTTTGTGTTTTTGCTTAGTTTCTTTGCACACTTCGTGTGTACATGTAATGTGCTTATGAATTTTTTAGTCAAAAGAACCAACCAATTTTTTTGCTATTTAAATCTGCTTTTGAGAATGAAGTTTTAGAAACATTTTACACTATTTAAAAAGTTATGTTTTTTCCCTACTTAAAGTACAAATTTGTACTTAATTTGTGTCTCCTGTATCTCATCCAGGACCATTAGTTTCTCACGTGTAATTATTATATATGCAGGTAGTGCTGTCAAACTAAAGGGAGGAAAGGAGAAATGTATACCTGGTTCTTTTTGACTATGTTTTGCATCAAATAAATGAGAGATGCATAGCTATCGGGGCTTCTGAATATAGTGATGATGAGATTCGACCTATTGCAATCTTGCTCAGTCTTGCAGATGCACCTGAAGCTTTACACATTTCTGTGAAGCTTGGCGTGGAAGGCATTGGTGAGCTTTTGAGAAGATCAATTTCTGCTGCATTGTCCAGATATCCCAATACTGATCAACTAAACATGGTAAGACCTGAATATTTTGTGCTGGCATCCCAGAGTTTCATGCTTTTTATTTTTCTTGAACAGGACATGGAGAGATCAAATTAGGCTTTGCTCCATATTTATTGAAATGGTGCATGGAATGCATTTTTATGCATGTATGAGCACATGTCCTTTGTTTTTTAGATCCATTAGGGAGTTTGGAGGACTGTCAAGATCCTTCCCCCAACCTGGGAAAGAAACTTCACCCCTCTTATGGGGGGCCCTTTTCTCCCCCTTCAAATCTTCTAATTCTGCATTGTCCTGTCCAAAATCGTGCCTTGTGTAATCAGTTTTCTTGTTGAGTTCAGAGATAAATAAGTTAATGGCCAATTTCCAAACTGCCCAACAAAAGTTTTTATGTTAATTTTATCCTTGCTTGTCCTTTAATGTTTTTTCTTTAATCCTGTAGCTCTTTATTATAACATACTTCCACTTTCCAAACTTGACAAAGGGAAAACGAATTAATGATTCACCTTCTTGTTTTTTGTTAGTTATGTTTATCTACTTTTGAGTGAGTTCATCTTTGTTATTATTGTGACTATCATCCACGTTTAAGAGTAGGAATTATGTAATGACCTTGGAACTTCTTGTGCTTTGTTTGAAGATATTGATTTGCCACTATACATATATATTTTGAAAGAATTTTGCCGCCTATTTTTGATAGCAATGCACGTGTGGGGTTTTCCTTTTGTTTAGTTTAAACGTTCATCTAGCAAAGGTAGAAAGAAGAAAAACCCATCTCAATCCCTTGTGGTTGATGTGACTGACAGGTTTTCAGAAAATTTCACTATACCACTAAATCGGTTTCACTATTTGAAATTCAATCTACATCTTGGAGTAGGATTTCTATGATTCAGCCTCATCTCTCTGATTTTGGAAAAGTAGCATACTTGCATGTACTTTGTTTATTACTGTGGACCCAGCCAAGGCTGGTAGTAGGCTTCATCCTAGGAAGATACCTGAGACTTGGGCTTCAACTTCAATCTTGGCCAGTACTATGTATAGCCCATCTGATTATTGGGTCTTGCTTTGCTGAGTCCTAGAAACTTGAGCATAGCATCTTAGTTGGGTGCTGCTTGAGTGATAAAAAGTGATTAGTTCAAAGAAATATGTTATTTATGCTGCATACTTCTTTTGTGGTATCAATTTCATAACTAACTAGAATTAGCCGAGTTGGCTACCTTGATTGCCTCAAGATTCTCTCAGTTAAGTGGTCAGGCAAGAATTGATTTCTCATGTGCCCTTCTCTGGGGGAAGAGGGTTTTATGTTGCCCCTCGTTCGGGCTTATATTCAACTATCAATGGGTGCTTTCCCCCCTATTATAGATACATTATTGTAAACTCTAATACTTAATTTTTCATTGTAAATCTTTGATAGGCCAAAGTATGTTAAAAAAAAAAAAAAAAAGGTGGTAGCAATTTTGTTGATCTGTAGCGCCAAGCTCAAGCTTTATGTTGTACTTTTAGCAGTTGACATTGGGAAAGAGCTGTTGAGCTTATGGTCGAGCTGTGGTCAATCCATTCAGCCCAGTGTCATGCTTATACACCACAGTTTGGCCCAGTGTCAGCCAATCCACATTCTGTACATAAGTACATACATGCAGGCCATTTCATAATTCTCATATAGATGCATAATTTTGCACAAGGAGAAAGCTAACCTCCCATCAGTTCTTAGGGTTCACCATGTCCCTCCTTCCCTCCGTCCCATAAAACTAGTCCCTCCTTCCCTCCGTCCCATAAAACTAGTCCCTCCTTCCATCCGTCCCATAAAACTAGTCCCTCCTTCCATCCATCCCATAAAACTAGTCCCCTTATGCTTTTTGGGATGTCACAAAACCTTGCCCACTTGCTAAAGTCAAGAAATATATATGTTTGAGCATCCCCAATCTACTCTTCATATATTGTCAGGAAACTTCAAATTCAAGTTTTGTAAAACTTCTACTTGAAAGTACTCATGAATTTAGTGAAATTTGGAAATTCAGTCCTCATTCCAAATGAAGTATACTACATATTCCCAAGAAGGGGCCCTTTTATAGGACAGCAGCAGTGGTAGATATAACAGCCCGTATGCATCAATTTTTCAACACTAATATGGGGCAATTTTGTCATTCAAGTTCTTCAAGTTGGTGGATTTAGCGAAGACTTCTGTTGCCATCTCTGCTTGCTGGGAAGAAGAACCAGCTTCTCAAACAGAATGAAATTTCTTCAACAGTCTCATTTACTTGAAATATGCAACCTGATCCCGCTAGTTGCTAGAAGTTTTACGAGTTCTATGGCTTTTAATTTCTGGTGTTGGCAATGAGGGAAACTCTACTTGTTTCTCAGACATCTCCTAATTCAATTGGTTCCACACAATTTCCTAAATGTGCAGAATTATGGTTACTTATAGACGGCTCCCTGCCTCTATTCTGGGGTTATAACTCAAATATGGCTTCTCCGATGGTGGTTTTGTTAGAGGTTGTCCGCGTCAGTAAAATAAATGCCTCTCAAACTAATATTGTCAATTGGTTTTGGGTTGGATGTTTTAACTATGTTCAATGGTTACCTCATGTTATTTAGATTGTTTTACTATTTGTTAGAACTTGTTGCAATGGATGATGGAATAAGAAATGGTGGTCAGATGGATGGTTGGGATGTGCTGTTACAGCTATCATTCCTTGTGGGAATGACGGCAACCATTTCATTTAGGCAACAATTTTCCAAAGAAAACCATAAATAATTGACTGAGGATTCCTGCATTTCTAATGAGTTTTAACTTAAAGCCTAATTACGATTTACTGAAAAATTGGGACAAGGTTGTCTATCTCCAATAGATGAAGAGGTTATATGTGCATAATTTACTTGTACTCTTGGGGCCCAAATGGAGTGAGTTATAGGTTTCACTTGAGTTGAATGTACCTTGTTCTGCACCTAAATGTGTATAAGTCAATATTAAAATTTGAGTTTGCCTCGCCTTACATGTAGTTGGTTCATATTGGACCTAATCTGATGAACAAAGTAGACCCGTTACAGGCCTATATGTGGTAAAGAACTGTGAGATTGTTATTTTATTTTGTGTTTCATTTTGTTATTTTGGTGGCTGTTTTTATTCCACTCTTCTTAGTCTGTTTGCAATTTAAGAGAGCAGGAGCACATTTGATTGAAGTGATGTGATTCTGACTGCTCTTCATCTGTAAAATGTTGCAGTGATGGAGGTTTCTTTAATGCCATCATGACCTTACCGCAAAACTACCCACAGTCCGCCAACAGTGAGGTTTACCTCAGAGATATGGCATCCTAATGGTTCGTACATTGTTTCTAAATATCTTTCACATAATTTCGTATTGATTATTATCTAACTGCTTGGGTATGATAACAGTTTATCCTGACGGAAAAGTTTGCATTTCAATTCTTCATCCTCCCGGTGACGACCCAAACGTCTATGAGCTTGCTAGTGAGCACTGGTCTGCTGTCCATACGGTATGACCACATAAGTCACATTAAGGTTTGTTCTAGATATTTTACTAATGTTGCTTAAAAGTTATTGGCAATGTAGTTTTTACCTTTTCCCTCAAGTTTATTTTGACTTTTTGATTCGCCTCGGTTTTGGGTTGTTTAGACTCGTTCATTCTACAAAATGAATCAATGATTTTTGAAATGAGTTGAGTTTAAGCAACTTATGAATTGACTTTAATAGGCTCGACTCGACTGGAATTGGTTTTATCTTAAAGATGAACGACCCATACCTATTACACTTATCTGTGGCTCTTAATATTTGATTTTATGGTTGATTATACACATGTTGGTAGATTTTTATTGAGAAGTTGGTTATTTTAGAATTGGTTATTATGTTATAGTGTATATTATTTGAAAACTTTTTTGATGTGAAATTGAGTTCGGTTTCGCCTCGAATGCTTGTAATCTTCTGTTTGGCAATTATCCCTACCTCCGGTGAAGGGGATTTTTAGAAGGAAATTTATGTAGTTAAACTGTATAAGATTGATGTTAGGGTGAAAAGAAATAAGTATAAATAGTCTTGTTCACTGAGTAGTACTAATCTTACTCTTATTTTGCTTTTATGTTGTTAGCTGACTAGTTTAAGAAAAGAGGAGTGGGAATGGGGGACGTGGGAGTGGGTACAGAGGGTTTACAGTGCTAAATTCTTGTAGCACAGTGTGGCGTTGTCATGCATCTGAAAGGTAGGACCTTGAAAGAAGGTTGCGCTAAGGAGGGATTGTGGAGAGAGAGCCTCTAGGCACTGAATTTGCTGTCGAGGGATAGCCTGTTAAGTGGGCGGGGTTAAGTTGATTCAGACTCCTGCCCCCACTATGGAAAGAACAAGGAATCAAACTTGAAGTAGATGGTTTTGATATCTTGATATGTATAGCTCAAAATATGTCCTTTGCTTTACAAGAAACAGTAGTTCTGTAACAAATTGTGTTTTGGTACAATTGTTTTGGAAATTTGGTGCACTTGCGTTCTGCCACTAAATTAGATGAATAAAACATGTTATGGCTAGAGCTTTACTTATCTTTGTGCTAAAGCAAAGATTTGCAATCTAATAAGGCTTTGGGATGCACGTTCTCTAAATTCCATATGATGGCCAGTATATCATATTTTCTGAAGTAGACAGCAAACTCGTCCATTTTTCTTTTTCGAATACAAGAACTTACACTTTGAAATATGTCAAATTTTAACTATTTTATCTGAATAATCCCAACCTTAGCCTGTAATGTTGTAAAATAAGTGCCATACTTCATTCACGTTCCTGTTCCGGTAAAGAAATGGTATGTGTCAACGGCTACATGATCATGCTTAACTTACACGAGTTGTATGTGTTTGCCTCTGGTTAGATCATTCTCTTAGTTAGTGTTCTGCCTTTCTATTAGTATGTATATGCTGCTCTACCCCCAAATAGCACAACTTGACGAAGAACTTATTTGCAGGTCGAGAGTATAGTTTTGAGCATTATATCAATAATGCTTTCAAGCCCTAATGACGAGTCTCCCGCAAATGTCGAAGCTGCGGCAAGTGTCAATATCTATCTGATTTCTCGACATATTTTCATGAACAATTGTTCGCTTTGTTTTGCTCCCTTTTTTTTGGTGGGTTGAAATTGTCAAACGGCGTTGTTTGGAAGTATGAGATCCATATGCTGAAGTTCACTGTTTCATTCAAGGAAACCACTATTCATAAGTTTGGCATGTCCTTAAGTATCAGCTCTTGATAGAAATTTCGCTTTCGTAGAAATTAATCGACTTAGTTGACAATGGATTCTAATAGTCGTTAGAAGACTTGCATGCAAATTAATATTTTTAATGTTTGAGGGTACAAATTAAAAATTAATGTGTCTTTTGCAATACAAAGTGAGATTACCCAATTTTATATTTTGGAAACTCAATGACTCTGCATCCCCTGTCAAAGGAGGGCCAAAAGCTGGATCCCCTGTCACTATCTCTGTTCCTAGACGTGACCGAAGAAAGTGGCTCTGCCGGCCAAAATGGAGAAAAAATTGAGTAGGTTTAATTTTGGTGCACTCATTAAAGCAACTGATGCAATCATGTACTTGAATGTTTGTGACGAAACAATCTATTTAAGGTTTGTCGGAGTTTACAAAATGAATAGATTCCTAGACATATTCTACCCGGCAATATGAAATGCACATATTTTTTTTTTTTGAAATTACATGTCAATTTAAAAATAACATAAAATTAAATTAATTTTTAAAAGTTAATTTTATTTTTATTTTATCCAACTAACACTTAATTTATCAAAAATAACATTAAATTAACATTCAAGATTATAATTTGATAGATCTTGATGATGCACAAAATGGTTTTGCACACCACCTGTCAAGTATAGATAATAAATGCAATGAAATCAACGAAAAAATTAGAGAAGACACAATTTATAGTGGTTCGGTCAATTCGACCTACGTCCACTCTTCAATGACTTCAGTCGCCGGGTATTTTATTGATTCAAAGGTATGGAGAATGGAGATACAAGCTTTGAGAGGGGGAATGGAGAATCAAAGAAAATAATAATCTCCGATCGTCGATCTATCCTCTTTGAGAGGGGGAATGGAGAATCAAAGAAAATAATAATCTCCGGTCGTCGATCTATCCTCTGTAAGTGTTTGATGGAGCATGTGTCCCTTTCTCTCACAGATTAGAGCCATTTTATAGTAGATAAGAGATCATTCTTGTGGAGATCATGACATATCCTCAAGGCTTCTTTATCGCAGCTTAGAGATTATCTTTGGTGGAGATCACGACTTATCCTCAACGGAAGGAAGAGGTTGGGGAACTCTTGAAGGAAACGTGGTCAAAGATTGGACCGTTTCCTTCCTTCGGTGGTGCGGATAAGCTTCCCGTGCTCTCTTCTTGGTGACGTGCTAAGCAAGAAGTCTAACCGGCCTTGGGCTCCTTAAGGCGGTGCAGATAAACTTCCCGTGCTCTTCTCTTGGTGACGTGCTAAGCAAGAAGTCTAGCCGGCCTTGGGCTCCTTAAGGCGGTGCAGATAAACTTCCCGTGCTCTCCTCTTGGTGACGTGCTAAGCAAGAAGTCTAGCCGGCCTTGGGCTCCTTAAGGCGGTGCAGATAAACTTCTCGTGCTCTCCTCTTGGTGACGTGCTAAGCAAGAAGTCTAATCGGCCTTGGTCTGTCTTGGACTTGGTGGATTCACGATGAGGTTGGGCTCCTCAACCGGGGTTGGGCTTTAATACATAAATTGGACTACTTGGGCTTAACCCATCATTTGCCCCCCAATGCCCCATGTCCAAGGAAACTTGGAGAAGGAGGCATTGATTACATTTTTTTTTTTTTTTTTTAAGTTTCTTCCATTTTATTTTAAAGAAGGCCCATAATATTTTGTTTGGCCTTTTTGTTTTGAAAAATGGCTTATAACTTTCTTTTGGCCACTTTGTTTTGAAGAGGGCCCATAATTTTCTATTTGCCTACTTTATTTTGAAGAGGGCCCATATTAGTCTATTTGGGCTTTTTCCTCTTTTTGAAAAAAAAACCCTAGACTATAAATATAGTCTTCTTCTTCATGTTACCACTTCACTTATTTTTAAGGTTGAGCACCCACCTCTTGAAAATTTTGGAACTCAAGTCCTACCCATTTTGTTGAAGCCAAAGTGTGTGTTCTCCTTGAATCCTTCCAAGAGTGTGATTTCTTCCTTGCTAGTTGAGCTTCTCAAGTGAACAATGTCGATTGAAGAGGGATTGGTGGAGGTTGAAGAAAGCTGTGGATCTGAAATTGAAAAGCTGGACAGCGAAGGGGAGATGGGCGGGCGCGAGGAATGGCTTGGGCTGCGCAGGGAGACGGCTGGACAGCAGCGAAGGCGCGCTGGGCGCGCGGCTGGGCAGCGCGCGCGCGCGCGCTGGGGGCCTGGACAGCGGCTCTGCGCGCGTTGGGGGCCTGGGCAGTGACGGCACGCTGGAAGGGGAGATGGGCAGCGCAGGCGCGCAGCTGGGCAGCTCGCGCGCGCGCGCTAGGGGCCTGGACAGCTGCTCAGGCGCTGCTCTTCCTGTCCTGGACAGCCCAGGCGCGCTGGGCAGCTGCCTGGGCGCTGGCCTTGCTGTCCTGGACAGCCCAGGCGCGCTGGGCAGCAGCCTAGCTGCTGCTTCTGCTGTCCCGGACAGCTTCAGATCTGCTGCGCTGGGCAGCTTTGGAACGCCGGGCAGCGGCATTTTTCCATCGAGGGGCGCTGAAAATCAGTCCAAACTTTGTCAGGGAGAGCTAGGCAGTGGCCTGGGAGCACGGGCTGATCCGATTCTCACTCGAGGTGCTGATTTGGACGCCTTAGGTGCTGATTTTTGCGCCAAAAATTCTGCTTTGTGCAATATTGAAGGGTCAAGCACCCTTCAAGCTACTGGGCAATTTTGTTTTGATGAGCAACGGCAGTCAGGCACACTTTCAGGCGTTGGGCTAGAAATTGCAAGCAGTAGGGAAGCTTTGGATGCTGCCCTTGATGATCAAGCCCTTGTTGTAGTTCCCCCGATTCAAGTTCTTCAAGACTCTCCCAATGGTGATTTGGACTACTCCTTAAGGCCCCGGAAGAAGAAACGCAACAGTAAAGTGGGACCCGATGACGACGGGTCTAAGGTGAGCACCCTTCGTAGTTTGTTCTGTTCAGATGAAGATATTTCTAGGCTTGTTTTTATTTATCGCATCCCTCCGACCGTGTTGTGCCGTCGGGCTGAGTTGGGCGAGTTTGCTTGCGATGACTCTTCCGGGGATATTGTCGTTTACGAGGAGATGCTTGAGGCTGGGTTAAGATTTCCCATGTCTTCCCCCATTTGTCGAGTTTTGCATTACTTCTCCTTGACCCCGGGGCGACTAGCATCCAACGGTTGGAGAGTCCTGCTCGGTTTTCTTGCCTTATGGAGAAAGGTGCACCACGAGGATGCTTCCCCTATGGAGTTTCATGCAGCATATAATTTGAGCGAAACCCCTACACCAAATAGGGGATGGTATTATTTTACCGCGCGGAGTGGTACAGTGCTTACAGGGATGCGCTCTAATTGCGGCGGCTGGAAATCTTGTTTCTTCTTTATTGGTGGAGAATGGGCTTCAGAAGCCGACAGAGTTTTGGTGCCAACACATTGGGGTGCTGCTAAAAAGCCCGGTATGCTGCACACTTCTTTTTTTTTTTTTTTTTTTTGTGTGTGCTCACTTTTTCTATGTAGATATACCTGTGCTTTCCCGGGACCAGGAGTGGAAATTGGAGGCTGTCAAAGCTTGCCCTTGCAAAGATTTGGGAGTTCTCCTGCCCAAGTATACTAGAGCTGTAGCTCCATCTCAGAAATCTGGCAGCTCCTCTTCGAAGAAAAAGGGTGAGCTAGTTTCCTCTCCCTTTTTTTTTTTTTTTTTTTTTTACCCTTCTCTATTTCTTGCAGCGAATAAGAGGGTGGTGGTGTCCCGTTTTTCTAGCAGGAGCCCTCCTTCTTCCAAAGTGATAAGGACAGATGATGCTCCCCATGTGGCTTCCACGGTGGCTCCTTCTCAACTAGCAACTTCTCCAACTGCTGCTCCAGAGTCTTCCTTGCCAGGCACATCTGTTCCACCTTTATCCTCTCCTCGTGCTACCCCTCCTTTGTCTCCTCCTTGTTCAGGAACTTCTACCCAAGTGCCGATTTGGGCTGGTGCTATGATGGGGAGACCAGCAGCTATCAGGGCAAGGCTTGGGAGGTTTGTGTTTGGGCCAGAAGTTTCTGAGCTTAGCGCTTCGGGCACTGATAATATCGTCAACACGTATTTGGAAGGTCTGGCTCAGGTAAGGGTCTGCTATTTCCCTTTCTCCAGTCGTTTCCTGTGTTTTTGACTCCTTTTTTTTTTTTTTTTTTTAGGTTTCGACTTCCTCCATCTGCTTGCTTTCGAGGGCCTATAATCAAGACAAGCTGAAGCTGGATCTTAGCCTTGTGCAGAGGGAGCTTATTACTGCTCAGGAGAGGATTGTCGAGCTTGATTCTGAGCTTTTGGTGACCCGTGAGAGGGACGTGCTCCGGGAGGGTGAGCTTGTGGCAGCACATGAAAGGTTTTCTAATTTAGAGTCTGAGCTTCTGGCGGCCCGCGAGAGGGACGCGCTCAGGGATGGTGAGCTTGCTGCAGCCCATGAGAGGGCCACTAAGCTAGAGGCTGAGCTTTTGGCAGTCCACGAGAGGAGCGCGCTCAGGGATGGTGAGCTTGTTGCAGCCTATGAGAGGGCCACTAAGCTAGAGGCTGAGCTTTTGGCAGTCCGCGAGAGGAGCACGCTCAGAGAGGCTGAGCTTGTAGAGGCCCATGGGAGGGCCATGCTCAGAGAGGCAGCTGTTGCAGAGGCAAAGCTGACGGCTGCTAGGGAGAGAGTTTCCCGTGCTGAGGAAGACTTGGAGAACGGTCTTGCAGATGCTTTTATTGATGGTTTCGAGGATCTCCGAGGGAAAGTTTCTACCGCTTTCCCTAATATTGACTTCTCATCTTTCGTGCCCACTGACGACAGTGATGAGGGGAGATCTGATGCTGTTGACGACAATGAGGAGGAGGTGGGGGACGACCATGAGAGCAGTTAGAGTATTTAGGACTTTTGATTTTTTTTTTTTTTTTGAAAAGGCGGTTTTTGGCCTTATGTTTGTACCGATACTCCTTTGAAATGAAATACAGGAAATCTTTTTGGAGTAAATGGCATAGAAAATTTTATTAATTTATTGCTTATAAAAAGCGATATTGGGCAATAATTCCCAAAAAAAAAATAAGAAATACATTGAAATCTTGGGTAACACCGCTAAAAATCAAATCAAGTCCCAATTTCTACTGCTTTGATGCTCTCAAGGTGTCATTGGTAATACCTTTTCAAATGCTCTGCATTCCATGGATGGAGTAAAACTTTTCCTTCAGAATCTTGGATTTTGTAGGTGCCTGGTCTCACTACTTCTGTTACGCGGTAGGGCCCTTCCCAATTTGGTCCCAGCTTCCCTTCGCGTGCATCTTTTGTAGCGAGGATTACTTTTTTGAGGACCAAATCCCCAGGTTGGAAAG